GACCTGGGGCCAGAGGGAAGCACGAGCTTTCGCAGCTGTTAAGGACCTGCTCACGTCATCCAGCGTCCTAATTCAGCACTCGGACACCCTCCCGCTCCAACTCACGTTGATAGGTGAGCATTTCAATTAAGTTGGAATATCAGTTACAGATTTACTGAAAACAGAAGGCATGTAAGGTAAACACTCACCCATATGGATTACTGTAATTTGCTTTATATAGGAATGCTCTTGAAAACCACTTGGAAACTTCAGTTATAGCCCATAGAGTTACTGAGCACTCTTATTATATAACATCATTGCTGGAGGAGCAGCACAAGTGCAATTCCAGGTGCTAGTTATTACTTATATAGCCCAATGTTGCTCAGGATATTTTCAAGGCCGCCTTTCCCATATAGATTCCACCCAGCCAATCCAAGGGCGCAGAGTATAATAGTATGTGAGAATAACCTTGGAAGACAGGTGAAAGAGCCACAGCCAGGGCAATGGTCAGATAAGAGGCAACTTATCCCACAGCACAAATGTGGACATGGGAAACATCTCAACCTCCCAATTTCTTGGGCTGTAAAGATGACAGGGAAGAAACATATTTTCAAACTTGCAAGATTTTGTTGATTTAACCTTATAATAAAGTAGAATTAATTCATCTGGGCATGCTTCTTGTCTGCACTACTTTGCAGAGAAAGTCTATGAAGATCCTCCTCTACTGAGAAGTGTAATGGGAAGGATCCCAAAGATAGGCATTCTCTGTGGCAACCCCTTGAAATATCTTGACCACTATGCAAGGGGGGGACTCCAACTTTTCTGGTCTTCCAAAAGCTCTTTAAAAACTGCTTGTTCAAGGTTTTTGGGTTTTGAGTGCTGAAGAGCTCTCTGTGCCAGAAATACTATGTTAATTATAACTAAAACAGTAATTATATATTGTGGTTCTTTTATTATTGTTGTTGTCACTAGTGCTGTCATAGTCAACTTAACTAAAACAGTTTACAAATTCAAAAATATATATGTAAACTGGTGCGAGGATTTGAGTGAAGACTATGGACTCTGTGTTGTAAGGCAACTTTCCCCATTCTTAACTGTGTCCCCCCCCCCCAAAAAAGAAAACCCCTTCTTCAACTCTGAGTAAAACTCAGTTTCATAGGCTGCTTAAAATTAGCATTCAGCCAAGAGAAACTCAGTTGGGCAAAGAACAATTAAGACATCCTGGAGAGATTGCCAAACTTCCCTACAATTATCCTGAGTGATCTCACTTGTATCATCCTTTCCACTTTTAGGAAGTTCATTTGTGTATCTTTGGGTGTCGCTATAATTTGAGCTGTTTGAGAAGATGAGGGTGATGGCTCCCATCATTAGGCAAGACAATCACAAAATCCAAAGTTAGGCATCTCCAGGGATATATGATCCAGCAAGAGAAGAATTAGGATACTAAAATAAGCAGCTGCAGGAAAAGGCGAGGCCTGGGATGGAAGGCGTGAGATGCCTAGATCCATCCGCATCTGGAAGAAAGCCACATATGCAAAATATATTTGTCCACATGATGCCATCAGGGTGTGTGCCACTTTACATAAGTAAAGTGCCATGCGTACAGATGGCATAATGAAATTAATAACTGCTGATATTGAAAGAACATAGTGAAAGGATCAGAACACACAAAAAAAGAGTTCACAGGTAATCTGCACTATTTCTGTAGCCATTCATCCTTTGTCTCCCCTTTAAAATGAACATTTCCCCATCAATTCACTCTTTTTTTGGTAATATATTTTCACATAGATTCTAAGCTTGATCTGGAAGAAAAGGGTATTCTTTTATTCTACAGTGTGGTGGGAGCACTTTGCCGGCTTTAAAAATCATATCTCTATCTTCTGCTTTATGTTGCCCCTAAGTTCTTCAGCTTTCCCATAAGGGCATTTGTGACTCTCTTTTATTAACTAATTGATTAAATGCCATGGTCAATGTTGACTGTTAGTCACCACTCAGATAGATTGTCTCTGTTCTCAACTTGTTTTTATAAATCTGTCAGTGAGTCATTTATTACTGTTGAAATCAAGTCTATCTTACTACTGACCCTCTCCTTTCTTCCCCTCTCCTCCCCTCCCCTCCCCTCCCCTCTCCTTTCCTCTCCTAAATGAATATGGCCGCTTATCTCACACAAAGTGATTCTGGCAGCATACAATAAAACCAACAATTGAAAGTTGTTCTCTTTCAGTTCTTGCCAGCATTTGTGGGAGCTGCGTCTTTCCATGACCTGTTAAATATACAATAGGCTGAGCCTTTATCTTGAGTAAAAATTCTGGATTGATTTGCTTTATGGCCTGGAATGGTTGTTGTTTTTTTCCCCTGGCTATTTATGGCATCCTCACAATGTATTGGTAGGAAAGTAGGCAAAAACATCATTTATATTATCACTGGAGCAAATTACAAAAGACTCAACATGTAATCTTCACAATGAATGCTTAGACTAATGTTTTCAAATTGATTATGGTTCACCCCCATAAGATAAGAACTGGGTTTCACCCTTGTATTTGATAAAGCAGGAAGGTTCACTTCCTGTGTCAGATTTCCTTCTCATGTTACTTTTGTGTTTGCTACTGGGGTAGCTCTAGGAATGGATTATTCATTCATTCAATCAATCAATCAATCAATCAATCAATCAAACAAACAAACAAACAAACAAACAAACAAACAAACATATGTCCTAATGCTTCCTCTTTATCTGTCCCAGGTGTGTGGAGAGGTGGGATCTTTTATTTAAAATTCCAGGATAGGAAAGTGAGACAGACCTGGCATTTTCATAGCTACACAGTGCTTCTTGTATCATTTTTTTTTTCCTGGTCAATTTTACCTAAAGCATCGGGCCCTTAAAGGCATGAGAGTCACATAGACATGAATGGACCTCTTGAGATTATTCAATACTATATTTACTGTGTTCTTTCTACATGGGCTGCAGATGGTCCAAAATGTAGTAACTCAGGTAGATACAGATATTAGTTGGTCTGCTCTTAGCACTGCACTGGGTTTGGTTACCATTTGAATTCTGGATGCCACTTCATGGTGCTGGATGTTACTTGAAAACCCTTCTTGGTTCAGGACCTCAGGATCTTTGGGAACCACTTCTTCCAGTAGCTTTTCCTTGTGCAGTAAGTTGGGTAGGTTCCCTTAGAACCCTCCCCTGAGGGAAAGTCACTACTTTGGGGACAAGCTTCTTGAGTCGCGTCTCCCTTCCCAAACCCCACTTTTCTGGAATAGTCTCCTGATGGAGATCAGAACACTTAAACAGGCAATTAAGACCTGCCTGTTTCAGCGAGCTTCTGGGATCTGAAAAATCCCTTATGGGAATGTTTATTGTTAATGGGATTTCCCAGCACTACGTTCTTCTGGTTTGTCTTGGAGTAATTGTTATTCTGAATGTTATTGTTTTTATGATTGTTTCTTTAACCTGATTACCGCAAGGGATATAGAAGCTGCTCACTTACTGACTGGAGCTTTACATCCAGTAAAGCTATAGGAGAAATTTTAGATGCATAATCAGGGTCATAAATCATAAGCTTGTCTCTTTTCTCTGAAAACAGATCCATTCTGAAAGCGAGAAGGTAATAAAAGTAGGCAGTCAATTACCGGTATTTGTACAAGTGTAATGACGTTGTACACATGTACAAAACACAGAGCTTGCATTGTGACAGCATTACATTGCTTTCAGCATTTGGACAAAAGCATTGGATCCTGTGGATACTTCTGCATTAAGACCAGCTTGTACATAATCAAGTAGAATTGTAATAACTTGGAAAAAAGACTCTTGACTTCTGCCTGACAATTAACAGAAGGTTAGGGGGACCTCTAGCGGTGAACGAGTATCCTGCAAAGAAATGTTTTAACATTTTAAAGACATTCTTGGTAAATTACAAACGTGAACAAAGTGATAATGCTAAAACATTAAGTATATTAATAAACCACACTAGCAATAGATAATAAGCAAACTATATAGAAGCCACCTAATCTTGATGCTGGTACCCTCAACACAAAAGAGTGAACATCAGCGGTGCCCTCTAGAGCATATCCACACTTAGTTTTAGTTGCTCCAGCCCTGTAGTCATGCTGGCTTGATTCTAAGGTGGCTTTTAAAAACTTCTATCCAGAGTGAGACACTTTGGCACCCACATGCCAATATTTAGTCCAGACTACAGCTGGATCATTTGCCAATATTTTTATATATATATTTATATGTACTGTATATCTAAGACAAATTATTTAAAACATCCCCACCTCCACAAGAAAAATGATTCTGTGACAACTATTGGACTTGTTCTGCAAAAACAGATATCAGCACTGGGGTGTTATAATACTTGCAGACATGTGTAGCACAGTAGGACTATGTCTTTCGTTTAATTCAATGTTTCTCAACCTTGGCAACTTTAAGATGTATGGAGTTCAACTATCAGAACTGAGGAGAGAGAGAGAGAGAGAGAGAGAGAGAGAGAGAGAGAGAGAGAGAGAGAGAGAGAGAGAGAGAGAGAGAGAGAGAGAGAGAGAGAGAGAGAGAGAGAGAGAGAGAGAGAGAGAGAGAGAGAGAGAGAGAGAGAGAGAGAGAGAGAGAGAGAGAGAGAGAGAGAGAGAGAGNACCCCTCGTTCTCCTGTTTCAGGGATGAGCAAAGCAGAAGGTGCAAAGTTCCTAGAAACTGGAAAAAAGAGAATAAATAGCCAGCTTCCTTGGTGTATGAACTGGGCTTCCCAAAGAGAGAGAGAGAGATGATATAGATATAGATAGCCAAATTGGCTGAAAGAAAGAAGAGGAGGAAGAGAAGAAGAAAGAAAAGTAATTCGAACAAAGAATTAAAGAAAAGGAGAAGTGTGGAAGAGGAAGGACAGGAGAAAGTCAGAGAAAGACATGAAAGAAACCGTGAGAGGTTTTTAAAAAGCACATATACCAACCACAGGATCTGAAGAAAAGGTCCCAAAAGAAATTAACCATCTGAGTTTAAATCAGACTTCCCTCAGATGTTATAAACACTTGTCCCCACAGAAAACCCTTTTATGTCAATTCGGTTTCTTGCTGTTTTGAAGTTCTGCATGTTTATTCCTCTGGTAAATTAAATGATTTTGGATATTGTTGCCTTATTTATTTATTTATTTATTTATTTAATTTATTTATTTATTTATTTGTGGTACTTCTGTATCGCTTCCAACAGAAGTATCCAAGCAATTTACAAAAGGTGTGAAAATAATAATATGAACTAAAATAAATATCTGCAAAAGTCCAACATCAACAGTAATAATAATGGCCAATGCTAACATACAGCCTTAGTACATACTCCATCACCTCCTCAATCCCCAATAATTGTTTTTCAGACCCTCTTTTGGGTAGAAAAAAAAGAAGGGGACTCATTCAGAGATAAAGGGCTTTATGACAGAATAACTGTAGAATGGCAACACCTCGTGAAATTACAGGAGTAAGCCATGCCTGTTCCATATCCAAAGATCCATTTGGAAACATTTTTCTGATGCAGGGATGGCCTCTGTCTCAGAAGGTGAAAATGTGTTAAAGGGACCCAGGTGAGAATAGCATAAGTAAGGAACAGCATCACCTGGTTGTCCCAATTCCAGATTCAATGCGTCATTTGGAACCAGCCCTAGAGATGTGAAAAGGTCTCAATGGCCAGAAGAGAAAGACTTGACTGATCTTTGGCTGGCTGGATAATGAGGGGAGCATCGTTGAGGCCCCCAGCCCGGATTCCAGGATAGAAGTAAGGCCGAAGGATCTCAGAGAAGGAATCCAAGAAGGTAAAGATGTGGGAACCGGTATCGCTATTATAGAAAGAAACCTCTCCTGCATCGTAGTCCAGGAAGATACCAATCAGCTTTGGCTTTGATCTCAGCACTAGTTCTGTGAGTGGAGACGTAAGTGCTGCATACTCGTCCCCATTCCTCAGCCACACCGTCCAGAACCCTTTTGCCGGTGAGGGGGTGAAGATACCTTGGCGGCTGACTGATTCTTTGCACACTCCCAGGGTCCAGCTGTACTTGCCTTCCACGCACACCGCCCAGTAATGTTTCCCAAATCTGAACTGCTCGCGGCCCATTAAACAAGTGCATGTTTCAAAGCGAGACGAGATCTTCGGCAGATCTTGCCTCCGGTCCACCACTTGAGCGCTGAGGCGGTCCTCGGATAAGAGCAGGTAAGGATTGGCTGTATCCGGATCAAAGGTCACCGACGCTGAAAGCAGAAACAGAAACCATCAGGACAGCTCTTGTGTTTCCCGTCCTAACATGTGAAGGTAGACAGCTGTCAAGTCTTGGGCCAGACTCATAATTTGTCCCTCGTCACCCCCAAGGATCTTGTGATGCTAGGAGGGGAAGCCTGTCCAAAGCTCTGAGCTCCATGGTCAAGTGAGAACTGGAACACAGGACCCAATCCAATACATTGAGCCCAGCACTACATAAGCATCTGTCAATTACCGTTGTATCTTTGCAATGACTCCATCAGCCCAGGAACAGCATAGGAGTCTTGCAACTCCATCAAAATCGGCTGAGGTTCTTTTAGGGATAGTCCTTCACTCCTAGGGAGAAGCATCATCAATTATCCCACAGAAGTTAAAAGCATCGGGTTTGGGGTTTTTTTAGTCTAAGGACAATGAAATTGACCACAGGTAGTTCTTGACATACAACAATTGGTTTAACAACTGTTCAGACGTTACAGTAGCGCTGAAAAAAGCGACTCCTCGCACTTACGACGATTGCAGCATGCCCACGGTCCTGTGATCAAAATTCAGGCTCTTGGCCACCAGCATGTATTGGTGACAGTTGCAGCATCCCAGGAGGGGGGGTGTCATGTGATCACTCTTTGTGACCTTCCCAGCTGGCTTCCAATGAGCCAAGTCAATGGGGGAAGCCGGATTTGCTTAACAACCTCATGATTCACTTAGCAACCGCAGCGATTCACTTCACCATCACAAAAAAAAGGTTGTAAAATTGGTCGCAACTCACTTAACAACTGCCTTGCTTAGCAACAGGATGTCAATGCTGCTAACATCGGATGTTTTTGCTTTGACAACAGTTAGAGATGCAATCATTTTCTTCTTATGTTTTACTTTTAGAATTAGATGATGCTGGGGGGGGGCAGGAATGTGCATGAGAGTTTAGATAGACATAATAATACTGGACCTAGTGTGTGAACCAAGGTTAATGAAATAAGATGATAAGAATTGGTGGCCTGGAGAACTGGAGGGAGAGCCTGCGTTTCAAACTAATTGGAGACTGTGATTTATGACTGTTAATTGGAGGAGGAAATTGTGCTTTGATACTATGTGCTCAGGGGAGGGGAATCCAGTTTTTGGCTTCAATTGTGTTAGGTTGCTGATGCTATGCTACTCTTTAAGGTAAACAATGCCTCAAAGTTCTTTGACGAGTTTCATCTGTCGGAACCATGATACAGAAATTTTGGGCTCAGTTGTGGTCCTAAGTTGAGGATTACTTATAAAAGCAACGTGCATATATGTGTGTCTATGGAGATTCCCAGTCATCCAGGTCAAGGTTGTCCCAAAGATGTTTTTGCAGGTGGCAACTGGACTTTCTTGCTTTTCTTTGAAGACATTTCACTTCCCATCCAAGACACTTCTTCAGATCTGACTGGATGGTGGGGAATGGAAGGGTTTATATTCCTTGCAGACAGCTGGTCATCTGCATTCTTTTGAAGAATCATTGAGGCTGTTTGGAGGTTTATCTGTGTCCTCAGGTCACCTGAGTCATGCAAATGTGTGCAAATGACCAGCTGTCTGCAAGAAATATAAATCCTTTCATTCCCCACCATCTAGTCAGAGCTGAAGAAGCTTCTTGAATGAGAAGTGAAACATCTTCAGAGAAAAACAAGAAAGTCCAGTTGCCTCCTGCAAAAGTACCTTTGGGGTATAAATGCAACCTTTTGAAACAAACTTCAATCAGGATTTATTTCAAAATTAAATATGCAAACAATTGTCTAAATTTAGTGTACTAACCTGGTCAGGGTCCTTTTAATATCCTAGAAGAAAAAACAAAAAAAATATGGTAAAGGCTCAAGTATTTTTTTTAAAAAGTTGCTGAAAGAACTTATAAAGAATCCCATTGTTAATGCTGCTCTATCAAACATTATACGATCTGTTGGTTTTTTGGGAGGAGGGTAGATATTTTTTTTTCTGGCCCTCAAGGTTCTAAGGAACAAAGTCCTTTTTGAAAGTTGTGGGGGGGGGTATTACTTTCAGCAGCTTTACAATTTTCTTAAAATACAAAGTCAGAGGCTATCCATCAGATAACATAGGATTTTGCACAGGGTCTGGATCTAGGATGTATGCAGTTCATAGTTTATCAATCAGCTTGTTTGTTGCCTCAACTTCCAAAGTCACATTGCTCAGAAAAAGCGTAACATGTGATAGCAGGCACAAAATTGAAAAAGCTTCCCCAGGATCCAGTCCCATTGCAAATGCAGTAATAATGCAAGCTTCAAACTATTGCAACTGCAAAATTCTAGAAAGGGCGATGAACCAAGGTTGCATTCTGTTAATTCTACATTCTATCCTTTTCTAGCACCAGTTCAGGAATGATTTTATGATTAATAATACAAGAAACAAAGCAAAACAACATGAAAAGAGAGTTACAAGGAATTACTGAGCTCTTTAGCAAGGAATCCCTGTCGATTTTACTCCGCTAGTCGTTGCCGACTCTAGGGACGGTGCTCATCTCCATTTCAAGGCCACTGAGCCAGCGCTGTCCGAAGACATTTCCACAGTCAATGTGGCCAGTATGATGTCATAGAGTACTGTTTCATCCCCATCGAAGTGATACCCATTTATCTACTCATATTTACATGCTTTCAAACTACTAGGTGGGCAGGAGCTAGCCAAAGACGGGCGCTCACCCCGTTGTACAATGCTCGGGTCTCAAACCCGGGCTGTGGGCTTTCCAGCTGCCAAGCCCAGCATCTTAACCACTGAGCCATCATGCTGCTCTCTTTAGCAAGAGGCCATGGCAAATTTGCTGCATGTAGCCATTGCTTTCTCTTGCTCTTTTCAGCTGGCTCATCCTGAAAGACCTCACCTTGAGCAAGGAGATCGCAGGTTTTTGGTATTTCTGTTCCATCTCTGTGATGAGGTTTTGCAGTCCAGCACACTGCTCAAGAAGGAAGTCTGAATTCCTCTCCAGCTTCTTTAGTGTTCCCAGCTCCTCCTCTTGAAGATGCTTCAAAAGTAGCTGTTCCTCTTCTGCCAGTGCCTGGCGGCGTTTTTCAAACCCTGATATGATAAGTACTCTGTGTTTCTTGACTTTATCCTAGCAGGGACATCAAGAGAAAGCAATGCTGGACATTGGATGATTCAAACTAATATTAAAGAAATACTTTAATATATTTCTTTAGTATTAAAGAAATATATTAAAATATTTCTTTAATATTAAAGAAATATTTTAATAATGATTAATATTAAAATATTGCATTATTTTCCTTAATAATACTAACCCCCATTCAGGAGGTTAACACTGAAGCATCTGCCCTTAGAAAGAAAATAACACATTAGAGAGCATATATAATTGCAGTCAGGATCAAATTAACATCCATCAGCATATGACAAAGGAACAATGGATAGTTAATAAATCCATTACAGATCCACTTTAGCTCAAAGTAGATTCCCCCACATCCAGATGGCCACAACAAATGGAGTCCTGGATCATCCTGCATTTTCCCCTAAAATTTTTTTCATTCAAACTAAGTTTGTAGAACAGGGGTTCCCAACCAGGGGTTCCCAACCAGATGATATTCCAGGGGGTGCAAAAAACTTGGCTTTTCAAAATGATAGTGTATATGCAAATTCATTGCCGTTGTTTTGAACTTTTGTAAGGGTGTGAGAATATATCAGAAGCATTCTAGGGCTGCGGGGTATAGAAAAGTTTGGGAACCACTGTTGTAGAAGATAATATAAAAGGAATGTAGCTTAGAGAGAAAAAATAGTATTGTTAGTACTTACTGGCAGTACTTACCGGTATGTCCTTATGCAAATGATCTGCTATCGGAATGTGAACTGTGCTAATTTACATAATTTGCTCCTATATACTTTATTGTTTTTTTGTCTTTGATTGCCACTTCAGTGAATTTACCTAGGGCACACCTTAAGCTTTCTTAGTTCTTTTTTCAATTGGTTTTACATCGCCTATCTTCCAGCCTTCTGAACCAGAACGGAGGGACAAGTTACATGGTTTTGCTTTCAGCAGTGCTTAAGTCATTGTCACCATCTGCACTTCCTGATTTTCGTGTCTTTAAAATAACCTTGTTTACTATTTCCCAGCACCATGTTTTGTATATATTTATAGTGGCAACTCCTGAAGTGGATTTTTTATTATTATTATTATAACAGATTTGTAGTTTGCCTTTAAAGTGTTACAGAACAAACTTTTTAACTGTTAAAAAAAAAAAGTCATATGCTTATCTCTCCAGAATTCTTTTTCCTGCTGAGTTTTGAGTTTCTCTGGGTATTTTAGTGGATAATTGGTGCTTAGAGATCCATATCTATGCTACTAAGTAAATTTTAAATCAGTGCTCAAGGACAAGCTGGAGATGTAAGTAAATTGTGGTTCAGTTTGTTCTGGGGAAAATAAGTTTGCTAGCGCTTGAAAACCTAACTGCTTCTTAAAGGGAGTTGCCCAGAAACCCTAAACCAGTCTATGCAAGCCCAGGATTTTGTGAAACTCCTTTGTGGGAAGGGGGTTTCCTTTCCGTAATCTTTTCATCCAGAGCAGCCCAATAGTTTAATTGTAAAGAGTCTTGGGTAAATGTATCATTCTTCCTGCCTGTGTAGAAGTTTAGCCACATTCCTTATAACCGAAAAAGCAAAACAATGAGAACCGCTTGAGAACTGTGGTTCTTTCATATATGACGATCCCAACCCCCAAACAAGGGTCAAGAGTCTCTGAGAAAGTGTGGAATACCTTACACACAAACACAGGTCAGGTCATCAGAACCGGCTCCTCACACTTATGGGATCAGAAGTTCTCCAGGTTCAACGATGCTTTTTATCTTTGAATCTGGAGAGCTTAAAGCCGCCTTGATACAATTGGAGCAACTGTGGATCTTTCTCAACATCTGAGCCAAATAGCTACTGCTGACTCATGTTCTGGGTTGTAAATGAGTTTGCGGTAAAGAAAGCAAACACACTCGTACATACACGTGCAGTAGGTGCATGCTGGTACTTCTTGCCTCCCTGAGAATGAGGAACCTGCCACATTAATCCATCACATCTTTGGCACTGTTTGCCTTGCTTCTGTTCCTCATATAGGGCTGTTCCTCACTTCCCCCATCCACTGCACAAATAGCTCCCCCCCATAACTCTTTTATTTTCTGCTGTGGACTCATGTTACCATTATCTTCTGTCAAGTCCACTGTGGAGGCAGCAAAAAGTCATCTATGCTATTTCAGTATGAAAATAGTGTTTTTACTCTTTTCCTGATACAATTTTTGTTGTGGTAAATTTCTTGTGGTTGCTGATGCAGTCAGAGTTTAGGGTTTGTCCAACTGCTTTTAAGTCACTTTAGGCTTGGTGGTTTGGACAAAACTCAGCAGCACTTTTTCGTGCAGCTGCTGATAAAAACAGGATCGCCAACATGATCGCCAATGTCCAATAATGGATATGGCAGAAGAAGAAGAAGAAGAAGAAGAAGAAGAAGAAGAAGAAGAAGAAGAAGAAGAAGAAGAAGAAGAAGAAGAAGAAGAAGAAGAAGAAGAAGAAGAAGAAGAAGAAGAAGAAGAAGAAGAAGNAGAAGGAGAAGGAGGAGAAGGAGGAGGAGGAGGAGGAGGAGGAGGAGGAGGAGGAGGGTACCCCCTCTCCTCTGGAAACTGTCCTTCCTTGACCATTTTGGCTTGGCTGAGAGATATCCCAGTTACACAGAGGCACCTGCTTGTATAATACAGTACCTGGCCAGAGCTATCTTAAGAGCTAGTCAGATCTTTCACAACTCCTTGTATATTTGGGTTTAGCACTCTTTTGAAAAAGTACTAGGCCTGTAGCATATTGCTCTCTTGGACCAGTTCTGCCAGCTATGTATTCCTAGTCCTGTCACCAGGGAATCCATTATTAAATTTCCTTTGCTCTTGCCGAAAAAAGGATTTCACATGGTTCTACTTGTTTCTATTACTATTACTTTGGTGGGGAAAACAATGCTGTTTTCATAAATTACTTCCAGGGCTTACAACCTCAGGCACCTGCTCTCAGTACTGCCATGCTCTTGCAAAACTCATTGCTGATCACTCTTTTCTGCTTCATCCTCTTCTTGACATTGTGAGATCCACCAGGCTAGTTTTTGGATACTGGTTTAGTTTGTTTCAGAAGAATATTACAGCTATGCAGAGATATAGCCCAAATTGCACAGATATCAGACACAGAACATCTCCAATTTGCAAAGTAGCTAAACTAGCCACTCTAAGCCTTTACCTATACTTGCCCATCCTCATCCACCACCTATTAAGGACAGAAACTGCTGCTTGTTCTTCCCAGGGGTGCTTTGTGGGAAGAGATATGAAATATTGCTTTCTTCACTTATCTTTCATTAAAATGGTAACAACAGGACCACTTGTGGCTTTGATCCTGAAGGACAGAGCACAGGCATCAGCAGTGATGGCACCTTTCCATTGATTCATGGAGTGCAGTATAGCACTTTACTGCACCTGACTAGCAATTCCCTTAATATTTCTACTCCTTCATGATTAGTAGGATTGTGCAAATCTCTTCTTTGGGATCTACAGTGCATATTTGGAGCTGTTCAAAAACCTTGTATACAACCCTGTTGAATCTCTAAGAGGCTGGATTTCCCTATGCATCTCCCCCACCATAAAGCTAGCCAGGCACTTAAAGAAGTGCCACCTCACCGAAGAATCTGCATACGACCCTATTAGTTAGGACTCAGGGTAAAAAAGAGCTAGTCAGAGTCAGGGGGACATGATTAGGGGCTTGCCTTCCATTGGCTGGTTTTCTCCTTCTCTTGGACTTCCAGCTTCATTGCTTCTGCCAGAATTTTTCTGAGAGTGTCCACAGCTTCCTGGAGTTTCATCTAGGAAAGAAAATGCATATGAGGCCTGGATGAAGATATGAATACGCCTTCAAACTAACATACTATACTGGGAAAGTTGGGAGCACAGGGGTTGGGAACTTGTAACCCCCTCTCTCCAAAGCTACACTTCCCAGCAGCCTCAGCTAGTAGGGCCAACAGTGAAGGAGAGGTTATAGTTCAGTAACTTTTGGAGGGCCACAGTCTCCTCTCTTTTCTTCAGGAATGATCTCTGTGTGAATTGAGCTTTTCTAGCCATTGTTCTATAGGACTATCATCTCAAGACAGGAGTCTCTGGCCCCCAAAATGATGTTCATGACTAACAATTCTTGGCTAAGTTTACCTATGTTTACCAATGTGACTATGTCTACACTAACACTTATCCATGGATCTACCTAGAGCAGAGATGGGGAACGATGGCCCCTTTATGACTTGTGGACTTCAACTCCCAGAATTCCTGAGACAGCTGTCATGGTTCCGATAGATGAGGCCAGAAGAAAATAACTCTGAAGTAATTGCATTCCTCAAAGAATACTTTTAATGGCTACATAGTATCGGCACGAACAAAGGTGAACCCAAGACTGAAAGTTCCCCCCCCCAAAGGTTACAAAGTAAAAGTTGAACTCCCCACCCCTACAGTTGTCATAAATCACAATCCCCAATTAACTACTTTGACGGGCTTTCTAACAGTATCTCCAGCCTGCCAAAATGTAGGCAGCTTCAGTTCCCATAAGAAAGTATTTGTTATGGCTAAATTAAAAGAACACATCTCCCCCCTGCATGGCTGTGGCAACCAAAAATGAAGTAAAGATGGCTGCAGACAGAACCGTTCGAAGGTTTGACAACAGCATGTCCACAAGTCATAAAAGGACTATCGTTCCCCACCCCTGACCTAGAGCAAAAACTCTAGATATGCTTCAAGGAAGCTTTTTCTGTTAATTCATCTCTGTTTATGGTTGGTAGGAGATCACCAACCAGAGAAAGTAATTATTGGAGAAATCACTGAGCTTAGAGATAAGGTTTTAAAAACTTTTATACCACAAGTTGACATTTAAAGCATAAGCACTCATTAATTTTATGAAAACAGAGCTGTTCCATTCTCTGATAAGAAGGAACGATCAGTAAAGTGTTGACAAAACCAAATTTCAGCAAAGGAAGAGCTTTACAACGTTTTCCCAAGGGCTTTTTTATTTAGAGGAAAAACAGTTTGACCTGGTTGTCTCTACTTCCTGAGGAAAGCAGGAGGTGGACATTTCACGATAAAGGTTGTGAAATGTGGAGATAAGCATTGTCTGAAAATGCTTCCACTTCCACCTGTTATTTTTAAAAAGATAGGAAAAGAGAATAAAAAGTTGGCAGCAATGATGTGAGCTCATTGCTGCTGCAAGCAGAACAATGTTAGCACAATAATATGAAAAAGAGAAAGAAAAGGGGGGGGTGTAGTTGCCTTTTAATGAATAACAACAGAATTTCTATTTATTTTCCAGTTGTGTTCTATTGCACTTTAGAAGCTGATATATAGAAATGGGAGGGAGGGGTGACTTTTTAAAACTCTTTTGTCTGTCTGCTCAGAAAAGTTCATTTGGCTTAACTCTGCCCAAGTTGTAAAAAACTGAAGGAATGAGGGGGGGGGAATCACCAGGTTGGGAAAAAAAAGTTAGCAATCCTAATTCCTAAATGTAATGCTTAGAATCACAAGGATTGGGGGGGGGAATTGCTCAACATATGTTTGTAGAACATTACCGCCATATACAAATATCTTAACAGAGCTGTTTCTAGCTGTTTGTTTGCTTTCTAATATATGCGTTTGTTAAAAATAACTACTTTTTTCTTTCGGATTACTAATTTTGATGGTCAGTGCCTATAGAAGTATAAAAATTTTGTTGTGTTCTTTGTATTCCCCCCCCCCTTAATCCCCTATGCATATCCTGATCACCCATTAAGGGTGATTGCCTTTCACCATTGATCGCCCATTAAGGGTGATTGCCCTTTTCCATCTGCATACAGTTTCATGCCCATTGCTGGTTGGCTAACTAGCAACAGGGTCTTGCCAGCCAATGGAATTGTGTGATTACAAGCCAGGGGAATCCCATAAAAGAGGGCTTCCCTGGCCCAGAGAGCCAGTCCGGATTTACTTTATGCCTTGCCAATAAACCGAGAGCTGACTGTCACTCGACTCGTGTCTTACTGCCTGCGCGATCTAACAAATTTAATCTGGGAAGTATATAAATTAAATCTGAGAACAATTTAAGATTAAAAGCAATTAGCAAGTTTACAAAAACATTTCTTCTAGTTAGAGTCAGACAGTCATGGAAAGATAGGGGGAAGGAGGAAATTGGCCCAGAAAAGAGAAAGGATTTTGTTGGATGTTTTGCTTAGATGACATACAAAAATAAGCAGCATAATTTCTCATAATTCTGAGGCTGGATATACAGGAAAGCTGTACTCTTAATTACCAATATATGCTTCCCAAACAAAGAAACAAAAACACCCTTTCAAAAAGTAACATTCCTGGAAAATGCATAACCTATCCATCTTCATAATGAGATGCTATCCACTTTGTAACATAATCCTGCTCAGTACATTCCTTTTTCCCCATACACACACCCGTACTCAATGTGGGCTTTGGGAATAAAAGAAAAAAAGTTGTGTAACGTTTGGCTGTAAGATACAGATATTTTTAGAAGCTATAGCTATTGTAAAAAACAGAGATGTATAATTGGTTAAAATTAAACAAGATGATGAACAGCTTTGTACAATTCTCATATTAGAGGGGCTTATTCAGTGGTGGGATTCAAATATGTGAACGACTGGTTCTCTGTGTGGATGCCGCTTCCGGAAGTCCATTCTGGGCCTGGGCAACAAAAAATTAGCTACCGGTTCTGCCGAAGTGGTGCGAACTGGCTGAATCCCACCATTGGGTTTATATTTCTTTTAACATTTTGCAGGGGCTTCAACATTATTGCTTTTAGAAGACCACCCAAAAAAGGCAATTACTTCTTTAAGAGGGAAGGAAGTAAGCTTGTGGGTTTCATTAGGAATTCCCCTAGGTTTCTCTCCATCCCAATGCTGCCTCTTCAAAGCACAGAAATAAAACATATCACAAACTACATCCTCTCTGTAAGCTTGTAATGTTGCATGGTGAATATAGGAGATCTTGCAGAGTCCAGTTTGGTTAGTCTATAATTGTTGCATGAAGAAAGTTGTCAACAACTACGAAGGAAAGAAGAGCAATGATACCAACCATGAAAATGGTTCCTGCCAGGCTTCATTTGGAAAGTTCTCAGGTACTGAAAGCTAAAAGTATTTCTATCAGAACTGGTTCCGGAAGAAACAAGCCACCTCTGGATTATAGGCAGCATTTAAAGAAAGGTAAGGACAAGATTGCATGGGAACACGAGGGAATATTGGCCTTAAAAAAAATCTGCAACTTTGAAAGAATCTTAAGAGTTTCAAGCTAATCAAAACATGTGGTTCAGAGAGAGATCTCAGAGCAGCCGATGCTGTAAGACTTTGGAAACTAAAAGTGCCTGGATGGGAGGCCACAAGGAGATTCATATGTACTACTTCAAGGATCTTAAAAAGCCGAGAAATGGAAGGCAACATTTCCCCTCCTTTTAATGTTCATGAAACCTCCCAAGGTTGTTCTGCAGATCCACAGAGCAAGGGCAAAGATTAATTTTCCCAAGCAATGTGCAGTAAGGATTTTGAGAGTAGCAAAATTAATCTTGTATTATGTTCAAAAAACCTAATAAATGTTCATAGCCCCTCAAGGCCAAGGTGGTTGAGACACTGCTAGACACTTTCGTCATTTATGTATTTTTCTCTACCAAAATAAAGTTGAGACTCATGGAAAGCTGTTTTAAAAACAAAAAAGAGAATATATAGGCCCACACAATGGTTAGCAGCAACAATGACATCCCCCACATGAGCTTATCATTGTGTAAATTAGGCAGATTGGGTTATTTGACGAAACTGTGTATCATTTGCATGTGACAACACTACCCTTCTAGCAGAAACCCATTGATGTAGGGAAGAAGAGTTGAATACTGCCTGGACAATTTGAATCTAAGAATAGTAAGAGTTTTCTACATTTATGTTTCACTTATATACCCCACTTTCTCCCCAACAGCAAAGGAGGTTTACCTGAGAGGTCTACCCTCAAAAACAACAACCTTATGAGGTAAGCTGGACTGAGCATGTGTAACTGGCCCAAAGCCTCCCCAGTGAGGATTTGGACAGACAAAGAAGCCCAGCCTGTCCTCACTTCAGGGCTTCCTATTTGGAACCCAGACCCAGCTTCCTCCTTACCTTGTAATCGTGAGCAGCCTCCTCAATGGGCAGCACCGAGTGCATATGATGCTCCCGAGATTTGTCACACACTAAGCAAATGGACTCCCCATCGTCCTGGCAGAAAAGCCTCATCTTTTTGCCATGCTTCTCACACAGGGCCTCAGCAAGTCCTTGGCTGGGCCTCCGAGCCAGCCGCTCAATGCCCTCCACGATATTGGCCAGCTGCTTGTTGGGGCGGGAGCTGCTTAGCAAAAACCCCGCCCGGCACTGGGGGCAGAGAGCTGCCCCGGTTATGGAACCAGCTCCTCGCTCGCAATAGTCTGAGATGCAAGCCTGGCAGAAGTTGTGGCCACAGTCGATGGTCACTGGGTCCCTCAGATACTCCAGGCAGATGGAACAAGAGACTTCATCCTGAAGCCTCTCCACAGGGTCGTCCATCGAGGAGGCCATGCCTGCTTAAAAGACTATTAAAATCCACCGGGAGATGGACAGCAGTCTCATTTCCAAAGAACTGTCAGCATATGAGGGAGTGGCTACAACAGGGTGGAAGCTTTGAGCAAGAAAAAGGAGGAACCTTGGGAAGGTGGGGTCAAAGAAAGAAAACAACTACAAAAAGTAAGGTCTGGTTCTGTTCGTGTATCTTTGGTTCAAAGAAAAAGTTCCTCTATCTTTCCCCTCCGCCCCTTTGTCCTGAAATCGGTTTTCAGTTTCGGTCGTGAAATACACTAAAGGGTTTGTTCCATTTGCTCAAAACCCCCACGTGGGCACACAGGGCTGGGTTTCTCAAATTCCTGCAGAAATATGTGTGATCTGAAGTCTCCTCCAGAAGTCTGGGGGATTAGAATTGTGCATGGTTATTGATGATTTGAGGGGGGGGCAGGAGGCAGAAGAAAGAATGATACTAAATTTCATTAAAAGAATGTGACCTATTTTTTTTTTCAAATGGTATAGTAGTCCTTATTATTACTAACAGCCCAAACCCTGGGAGTTACTGAGAAATACACTCTATTGAGAGCTGCATTTAATATTTCCAACATGAGTTATGCACAAGAAAATCCCACAGAAATATTTTTCCAGCGGGAAAAATCCAGATAGATGTGGTATCTATTTTCCATTAGCTCTAACAGTAAATTCAAGCCCTGAATGCAAAAACAGTCATAGCGTGCTTGGAAAATCACATTTTGTAGAAACAAGTCTTTTCTTTTTAATTAAAAGGATGCCTGCCATGACCTCACAAAGTTGCCCGGAATTGGATGGCATATAAATTAAATTATTATTTCAGATTGGTCACATAGCCAGCCAGATGTTTAAACTGGATTTGGCATTTTTATCCACCTATCGGGTTCTTGGGATAGGAAGATGTTGTTTGGTAGTGTTAAAGATATTGTCGCAGAATGTAAGCTATTCCAAGTAAAGCTGTCTTTTGCAATTTGACTGGTGGTGATTTTGCCAATGCTGATGGTATTCAAGTGGTGCTTCAATTGTTTTGGAATTGCACCCAAGGTACCTATTATTATTAATACCGGTACTAATTTTGCTTCCTTTTGTTTTGCTTCCTTTCATTTGTTCTACTTCTGTTTGCCAGTCTTTTTATTTTGTATCTCCTCTCCTCTCCTCTCTCCTCTCTCCTCTCCCCTCCCCTCCCCTCCCCTCTTCTCTTCTCTTCTCTTCTCTTCTCTTTCTCTCTTCTCCTTTTCTCCTCTCCTCTCCTTTCCTCTCCTCTCCTTCCCTCCCCTCCCCTTCCCTAATGCAATACAAGTAGCCTCTCCCTCTCTTCTACATGTGGAATTGGGCCAGCAGATCATTGCAAACCTCCTTGTTTCCCCTTTTCTTAGCACATGGCTAAGGCCGTTTTCTCAATCCAGTGTTTGAATTTGCTGCTGGGGACAATAAATGGATGCTAGCTAAATGGATGCCAACTTTTTCTTCTTTTCAAAAGGCAGCATTTATCTTACTCAGATTCTTGAGGCAAACTCCCTAATTCTCATTCTCACATACTGTAGCATTGAGAAACATCAGGGCAGAATTTCAGCTTTCCTTACACATTCAGTGAGATCCTTAGCGCTCAAAAATTGATTGTATCTCCTTCAATGCACGAGGACATCCTTGTTCAAGATTCCCATGTGACTCCAGAAGGGACCCCCCCCCCCCAATGTGCCAGGAAAGGGAAATTAATGCTGTGTTATCCCTCCAGTATATCTGGGTAAAGGCTAGAGATGCTAGACAAGGAAAATGCAAGATGCCCCCAAACCAGGAGGAGTCTGCGATTACCTTTTCAGACTGACACATTTTCTTGAAAAGTAGCTTTCAAAAACTCCATTCATCATTAGGGGCACAGCTTGGCTACATGGATGTAGGATATAAATTGGGATGATTTGGGGCTACCATAAAATGCCAAGACTCTCTCTCTCTCTCTCTCTCTCTCTCTCTCTCTGTTGATTTTAAAGATTTTGTATTTGGTGATCTCATATCTAGAGGTCCAAAATCATCAACTCTACTACAGGTAGTCCTTGACTTACAACAGTTCATTTAGTGACCATTTGAAGTTACAACCGCACTGAAAAATGTGCCTTATGATCGTTTTTCACACTTATGCAGCATCCCCATGGTCCCGTGATCAAAATTCAGACACTTGGAAACTGAGTCATATTTGTGACTGTTGCACGGTCCCAGGGATCATGTCGTCAATCTTCTGTGACCTTCTGACAAGCAGAGTCTACTGGGAAGCCAGATTCACATAACAATGATGTTACTAACTTAACAACTGAGTGATTCACTTAACAACTGCAGCAAGAAAGATTGTAAAATATGGCTTCCCCCATTGACTTTGCTTGTCTGAAGGTGGCAAAAGGGGATCACATGACCCTAGGACACTGCAACCGTCATAAATATAAGTCAGTTATAGAATTTTGATCACCTGCCTATAGGGATGCCGCAACAATCGTACGTGTGAAAAACAATTGTAAGTCTTTTTTTCCAGTGTTGTGGTAACTTCAAATGGTCATTAAATGAACTGTTGTAAGTCGAGGACTATGTGTAATGTGAAAAAGCAGTAAAATATACATTTTGCATGTGCCTGGAAATGTTTCTTACACTGGAGAGGAGGAGCAGTAGAATGTCTTTGTAGGATGAGTGAAACATTATAGGGTCTAGGACAGGGGTAGGCAACCTTGGCTCTTTTATGACTCGTGGACTTCAACTCCCAGAATTCCTGAGCCAGCCATGCTGAGGGGAAAGGGAGAGGTTTCCAAGCTGAACCATGCTGACTCAGGATTTCTGGGAGTTGAAGTCCACGAGTCATAAAAGAGCCAAGGTTGCCTACCCCTGGTCTAGGACAACTCGCCAAGGCCAACTCACTGTGGCTAATTCGCCACGGCTAATCCACTGCAGCCAACTCGCCACGAGGCAACTTGCCGCAGGACAATTCGTGGCTGAGCAAGAGTTACACTAATATCAAAGAAATGGTGGCATGGAATCATTAAAGAAAGGATGCAAAGGGAGGGGGACAAAATGAAATGTGAATGGCAAAAATAAAAATAATTTTTAATTATTTTAAATCATTAAATTGAATTGTTGAATTGTCCTGTGACGAGTTGTCCCATGCTGAGTTGGCCGTGGAGAGTTGGCCATAGTGGGTTGTCCCATTCCGAACACCACCTGCTGCCATCGTATTATTCTTAGAAGACTGTATCTTGTCCTATAGTGAAAATAGTGTTTGCTTGCCTGATGCAAGGGAGTTCTTCATCCATGGTTCCCCAAGTGAATTCATTAATTCACAATTAATGGCATGGTTTCTTAATATTTAGGGAAGGGGCATTCCCTGAAAACATGGTGTATCCTCTAAAATAAACTTCACCTAATTAACACACACACACCCCAAACTCTCAAGAGAGCTGGGGATCAGAAAATCCTAACTCCATTTCTTTTGTTCTGTTTTTGTATTAGTCAAACTCTGGGCCACCCACAGAAAGTTAAGGGCCCTGCCATCAGAAAGTCGCTCCTCCATTTTGATCTCCAACTGATTTCTTTCCACTAGTATTTTATCCGGTTCTTAAGTGGAGACCAGGCTTCCATTATCCTTTGGGTCCTAATCATTTATATGGATCCCGAGCAAATTCAATAGTTCTGTCAGTGAGCCTTCTGCACCCTTTGTCATCTCTTGAAAACAGTGATGAGCTGGCAATGGCATTGTTTAATTAATGGCAAATCAGGCACAAGAAGATTGTGCATGCTCTGAAAATGATTCAGGAGAAAGGTTTTGGCATGTACACTGCCCATCTTTAAAGCAGGAAGGCTGGTGTGTGTGGGGGGGGAAGGCATGCCATGCTTGACCCTGTGCTTTCTAAAGCAGCGGTTCTCAACCTATGGGTCGCGACTCCATTTGGGGTCAATCAACCATTTCACGGGGGTCACCAAGCAAGGCTGTCCGCCATTTTTTTGTCTGCCATTTTTTTTGTCCGCCATTTTTTTCCCCTTTTCCAGCAGGTGCCTTACCTCCCTTGGGCTGGGCCAGCTGGTGGTCGGCCTGCTCCGTCTCTGCTGCTTGCCAGCTATGCCTCGGCCGGTGCAGGGGGCGGAACCACGCATGCGCGGCACTCCCGGGCAGGGAAAGTCCTCGACTTACGACCAGTTGGGTAGTCCTCGACTTATGACCGGTTTAGTCCTCGACTTATGACCGGTTTAGTCCTCGACTTATGACCGGTTTAGTCCTCAACTTACGACCGGTTGAGGTCGCGGCATTAAAAAGGTTGAGAACCACTGTTCTAAAGCTTGATCTTCGGAATCACTTTGAAGCAAAACCTTAGTAACCGATGACCTGAATCAGAAATAAGAGGGGCTGAATTCAGCTATGGAATCTAGCCGTGGTACTGCAAGGATTTCCTAGATGCAAAGTAGCCCAACTCAGCATCTATTGTATGAGTAAATTATAAATACAAATCATTCCCCAAAGGTATGTTGGCTGTTTTGTTGGAAGTCTTACCTCATCTGTCTCATTTATCAACTTGTAATTGTGCCGAAGGGTTGGAAGTAATCACATCTTTCTTCTGTGCAACTGCCAGCGGTGAATCTGCTCCAACTTTAATTGCCACAGTTTCCATAGAGCAAATGTAATAGAGGCAGTCCTCAATTTGTAACCACCTATTTAGTGGCTATTCAAGATTATGGTGCTGAAAAAAGTGCCTTACAAACTGGTCCTTATACTTACGACCATTGCAGCATCCCTGTAGTCCTGTGATCAAAATTCAGGCATGTATTTGTGAAGTTGCAGCATCCTAAGGTCACGTGATCACCATTTGTGACCTTTCCAGCTGGCTTCTGATAAGCAAACCCAATGGGGGTAACTAGATTCACCTAACAATGGTCTGGTTTACTTAACAATTGTGGTGATTCACTTAATAAATGTGGCAAAATGATCATAAAATTGGACGTGACTCATTTAACAATTGCATCACTTAGCAACAGAGGTTCTGGTCCC